TTCAGCTGACAAAAATGTTTAGAAATGCCTGGCCTAAAGAAACATACACAAAGAGTTACCTTTGTCGTTTCTTGTATATGATGACTCCAGCAAGTATACAAACCAGAAAGAACACAAGTGATGGCGTTAGGATATAAAGACCAATAGTCTCCAGTCCACTGAGCACTGGGTCTGCTTTATTATGGAAAAGGGATAAAAGGATTCATCATTATTATTAGCACACAACTGATAATATCATAACTGATCTGAAAGGCATAACAATGACGTAAGTATGGACTCCAGGAAAAAAAACTAAATAAACAATATCAATATAGAAAACAATATGAATGATGAGACATGGTTGAGACAGTATATGTTAAATAAATCACTCACATTGCACATTTAAGACAACAGATGCCATAATGTCTCTTCCAGAAAATTTTGCAGTACATATCAATTTCTTCTCATGATCTACTTTTGCACCCAGAAAGGTTATGTTAGAGTAGATGACCCAATTTAAACCAGAAAGTGTTTTGCTCCACTCTGTGACCTGCATGTTCTCATAGTTCCATGTGATGTTTGGATTCTCTTTCTGGCAGGAATGGTAGACACTACAAATGAAGTTCTTTGCGACGCCCTCTGTGACATCTGCCAGTTCAGGCTCAATCGTTATGTTATGATGAACACCTGAAATTGAACTGAAATCTTGTAATCGGTCCAATTGTGACGTTTAAACTGATAGTGCACAAACTAGTTCACATTTGTGTTTACTCACATTTTACACGTAAAACAACAGAGGTTGTAATGTTTCCTCCAGAAAAATTTGCAATGCAAATCAATTTCTTTTCATGGTCTTCTTTTACACCCAGAAAGGTTATGTTGGAGTAGGTGACCCGAGTTAAACCTGAAAGTGTTTTGCTCCTCTCTGTGACCTGCATGTTCTCATAGTTCCATGTGATGGTTGGATGCTCTTTCTGGCAGGAATGGTAGACGCTACAAATGAAGTTCTTTGCGACGCCCTCTGTGACATCTGCCAGTTCAGGCTCAATCGTTATTTTATGATGAGCACCTGAAATTGAACTGAAATCTTGTAATAGGTGTCAATGTGACATTTAAAGTGAATAGCTAATAGCACACAAATCAGTTCATGTTTGTGTTTACTCACATTGTGCACTTGTGTTTTTTGTATCTGTCACTGTTATGCCACCATAATGTGTTACTGAACACTTAATAGTTGAGTTTTCTGCCTTTACAACACCTGTGCGTGTCAGAGTGATTTTCCACGGGCCATCTTTAATGGAGTCATTGACTATTTTGTCAGATCCTTCTATTCCGTTCAGAGTGATGGTTTGTTTTCTGTATGGACACGTGTGGGAAGTTGAACATTCTACTGTGATGGCGTCACCCGTCCTTTCACCTCCAGAAATACTGATGCTGGGCAGCTGTGGACTTGCTACAAATAGCAGAAATGTCAATATTAGGAAATTAGATAAGAAGTCAAGCAAGTTTTGAAGAACAAAGTATTTACGTACCGTCAACTTGAATTGTAGAGGTGACATCATAAAATTTGTAG